TACCGCTCTCCGCGCTCACATTATCTCTCATCTCCCTGCCGGCCTTTTGAACTTCGCCGCAACGTAGAGCAAAAGGCTCTGTATTTCACGATTTTTTTTCCTTTTTCTCCACTGGTGGTCCACCTCCCGCTCTCCCGCTCCTACATCACATTTGTGTAGAATTATTGACTTGTTTTTGTTTGTTAACTGCTGTTTTTGGCCGCAGTTCGCCTTGCGAATGTTTCACAAGAATGCTGGGTTGTGAACAAAACTTTCGCCCCAGGCGGGACTAGAACCCGCACCTCTCGCTTTCCGGGCAAGTGCGCTACCAGTTACGCTAAAAGGCAAAGTACGCTATAACTTCAGTAAGGCATATACATATACATAGAAGTTTTAAGAACTGTGGGATGAAATGGTGCCCCGGTAGCGTAACTGGTAGCGCACTTGCCCGGAAAGCGAGAGGTGCGGGTTCTAGTCCCGCCTGGGGCGAAAGTTTTGTTCACAACCCAGCATTCTTGTGAAATATCCCAACAGTATATGCACGAATCTTGCCTTTAATGTCGCCGGCGTACATTGAGCACTGTACACCGTTAGTATACAAATCATCAGTGTACAGAATGAACATCAAGGGCCCAAAACAAGAACACTAGGAACACTACTGTTTGTTCGATATGTTCTAGAACAGGAGCCTTTAAGAACGACTGTTTGATGCCTGTTAGAGAAAAATGATTTTAGAAAGTTGAGAAGGCAGTTATTCCGGACTGACTGCGCTTGAGGAGCAGGGTGAATGAAATCGAACGCAATTCAGAAAAGTCAATGTGTACTGCAGAGTGAGATTTTTGTCAATGGCGTACAGTCATACCAGAGATTGTGCACGCTCGAAAAATTTTGATTTTTACACGCTCTTATCCGCTTACGCCCGCTTGCTGTGTTTTCAAAACACTTGTAAAAAGAGTGGGGTCGTTTCTTTTGTCCTGAAACTTTCATTACGTTCCAGAAACAAGATGTTTTGGCGCGTTTCTTCTAGCAACATCTCATAGTGAGCAGAACTTTGTAGTGCAGTACCATCCGTAAGTTTACTATGTCAGTGAACCTGAGCAGATCGGAATCGGAAGCCACCCAATATTATCGGTTTCCTGACAATTCAGACAATTCCAAAGGATTTTGTGACCACTGTCGCAGCAGATGACATCGTTCGTTTGGCGAGATGGCCATGAGTGTTATTGCACTAAGAATTTGTATCTGCGCGAATGACATTCTTCTGAAGTGCTGAGCTTCGAAGTCTGCAAAAGCCGCTTCGGAGTCTCGAGTCCCTACAGAACGCTTTTGGAAAGGTCAGAACTTGAGGAAATCTGCACGCGTGCCACAGCAGACAGTTCCCGTAACAGCTCAAACCTTTGTCTCGAAACTGATTGAGGTATATTTGAATGTAAATGATAGATATTGCCACCCAATTACCAATGAAGTATTGTTGAAATCAGGAATCGAACTCACAACTCGGATGTATTTTCTTTCATCCGACAGAGTTATTTTCATCCAGTTTCCTTAGAATCCTCCGGAAAAAGCTCGCCTCATACTACCACAGAAAACGATACCTTAAAGGAATCTTCCACGGAAGAGTGATCATTTTGTCTTGTGTGTAGGATTAGTATTATCGAACTAACCACTTTGTCCGTTCTTTTTGCTATGCTCATGAGGCTAGGGGCCTAAGGGGTATCGTTTTTCTGTGGTAATGGAGGCGGAGCTTTTTCCGCGGAAAGATTCCTTTGAAAGACGCCAGAATTTCTGATCAGAGGTAAATCATTGAAATAAAGGAGTTGCGTCGCTGGAGGATGAAGAAGAAACGTTTAAACAGTCGAACGGCCGAAATGCGATCATTTCTTACTCTTATATTCGCTTTTATGCCGACTCTACCGCTGTGCCCCTTCAATCACTCCTCTCTCTCTATTCTATCCCTCCGCCTCGCATAGACTTGCGCCGTGAGTACATACATAGTCGGGGCGTCGCCAACCGCGCTAGGAGTGACCATTGCTGAGCGCCGAGGCAATCTTTTCTGCAATGCCGCCGTTCGCACTCTCAGGACGCCGCCTTCCCCAGCGTGCAATTTTCTCCTTCTTTGACATTCGTTCTTATCGTGAATTCCTTCTTTAATTTGGCTCGTCCTGTATACGGCGAATTCCGCGGTACCTTGTGATGTGTGTTCGTGTGCTTGACCGAAAATTCAAAGCGCGCGCCGCAGTAGGGCATTGCGTTTTACATTACATGTTTGACAAGGACATCAGTGAATGATGACAGGGTGATAACCACTGAAAAGGAGCGCTAGGGTGTCATTAACTTCGTTTTGTCATGGACTACTGTTAATGCTGCTCTACTGTAAAATTGAAATGCAACTAATCATTTAAACAATTCTCTCAATTAGTGATAGGGCGCAGAGGAGTCGTGGCACACTCGAGAGTTAAAAGTGCCACTGCTACCATTTTTACTCATTTGCACGACGCAGTGTCTGCGTCCCTTACAACAGTGCGGGGCGTAATATAAGGTCACTCTGAAATATTGCATTTCCGGGAACCAGCAGCCAACTGGTGATTTTTCCACTATCACCAAATGATTCCCCACTACGAATAACCCCTGTATCGCAATTTTGGTGGGAGCAGCTTTTCTTCGAACTTTTTTGTAATTATTTTTCGATTTTTGCACCGTTTCATAATATAAGGTCACCCTGAGGAAAAGAACAATTACCTAAGATTAATGACAGATAAAATAGACATAATAATGTATGGTTCCTCCTTTATCAAGGGCAACATCGAATAGCCTCCGTGGCCTACCGGAATTGAGATTCCAAGGCAGATCACCATCGATTCACTTCCGTGTTCAAGGTGCTTTGTTTTAGCACTTTTGAGTTCCTGACTGGTTTATAAGCATGATTCTTCATGAAGAAGATACCCTTAACAAGGAAAGGCTCTCAGGTCACCATGGCCATTCAAGAAGAGATGTGTACCACTAGATGTGCCTTTGAACGCTGATTTCAAATCTGCCTTCCAAATTTGCTGAACGACTCTCTGTAGGGAGTCATGAAGCAAAACAGCACACGGTAGTGGTCAGAATTTGCAGTCAAGACGTCGTAGGATCGGCCCCCCCATGGTACGCTTTTCTTATCCTTCTTCAGTGGTATAGCTTAGAGCCGCTTATACCTAGTTTAGCCCAAATACTGAGAACGCAATACAGTAAATGCGACCAGGTCACGGGCTGACATACGACGTTTTGACTGCAAATCCCGACCACTGCCGTTGCGCTGTTTTGCTTCATAACTCCATTCAGAGAATCGTTTAGCAGATTTGGAAGGTAGATTTGAGATCAGCGTTCAAAGGCACATCTAGTGGTATACATCTCTTCTTGAATGGCCATGGCGACCTGGGAGCCTTTCCTTGTAAGATATTCTACTCAACTACGACTAAAATTTCAGAATAATCTGCTTAGTTTGTCAGAGTTTCGAAGAGAAATGCTGCTTCTGGTTGAATGACCTACATGGGTACCTGTGCTGTTCTGTATGACCACGTAGGCTAGCCGACTTCATCAGCTCAAGGAAGAGGTCAGATGTCCTCGCAAGGCTCTATGCTAATCTTTGGAGTCCATTATGCAGTTTATGGAAGCGAAATTTTGACACAACATCATCACAAAAAGCACCCACACCTTTCACATTTCCTTAACTAAAATTGCAAGCGCTGAAGTGAATCGGCCACCTTCGCAAGTCACTTCAAAAGTGTTTATATTCGCAGGATCTGTTTGTATAAACCAGTTTTTGTCCAAAAAATACCAACTTTACTGGAATTATCTTGCTATATGGTGCGACTGTGGAGCAGACTCAACCTTGTTCAAACTCTCTTCAAGTTCAACTTTACGGGTTGAAGTTGTGCCACTTTGCAATGGCCACTGAGCCTTCGGACCATCTTTGTTGCTTTCCTGTAATGTTGCTGCATAATTTCACCGCTCTCCAGTTCATATTTTTTCAAGATAGAAACATTAAATTACGCGCGACGCCGATTTCAAGCGGAAAACTGTTTGGGACAGCCCTCATAATTCTTCTCTAATCATTTATGAAAACCGTTTTGTGGGTGTTCGAAACTTGTATAATATCTGGAGACGTAGGAGCTCCTACAATTATCCATGACAAAAGCTAAGGAATTTCCGAAATGCTTTGGTTATTATTTGCACAGTACGTGCGTACAAGAATATTGCTTCAGGAGTTGAAGACAGAGAAATGCTTTGGAAAGACTCGCGAACCATGCAAAGCGCCATGAAATCTATTAACTTTACCTTTTCCTCAGAAGATGAGTACGAAACATTCCATAAACTTAGCTACTGGGTGTGTTTGTAACAAACATTCAATTTCACAGGCAGGATTGGTTGGTTGGTAATGTAGTATTCAGTTTCACAGGGTGATATAATTGAAGGGTGCAAAAAAACCAGAAAAAAGATGTATAGAAAAGTTAAAATGAAAGCTGCTCAAGCCGAAATTTCGCTGCAGGGGTTTTTCATGGTAAGGAATAAGCTGGTACTACTAAATTACCAGTCCAGAAACGCAAAATTTTAGGGTGACCTTATAATCATGAAACGCACTGAGGTAAGCCTCTCCTCGCTCTTCTGAGTCTGTCAAATCGCTATCGCTCTTTCGGGGAGATCCTTCATCTTGGTGCTCTCTATACTTCGTTTTACATTTTTTCTCATTGGTGGCCCGCTTCATATCACTTTTTCGATTTCAAGGGAGATAATATACCAACTCGATTGTGATCCGTGCGTTCGACATTGTAACTGTTTTGTAAATGAGGTTTATCGTGTGATGAGCGCTATTCTGGTAAAGTTTTCGAATACTGCTTGTCCACTCTGCGCTGTATTTAATTGCAATGTCCTTTTACATTTATTCAAGCCGAGCATAGTCCGTGTTATTACTTTATGTAAGTTGATTGTGCACCTTATCGAATTTTGAAAATACAGATGGTTCGAGTAGGGCAAACTTAGTGCGATTATTTTATGTATGTTGATTGAACACCTCCCACTTTGGAAACGGCGAAATATCCAGATTGTCCAGCAGGTAAGTTTGATGGCCCTCCTGGACCTCCAATGGCCACTGATTTAACACCGCCACCACCAGCACCACCTGGTGCACTGATGTAAGCCGATGTTGCGCCTGCTGGAGGGGCACCTGCTGCTCCCATGTAAACGGAGGCACCTGGTGGCTGAGCGCCTCCGGCTGCTGCCATTGTGGATGCTGAACGATAAGGCTATTATTAACACTCCAAGATTGGTGGTCTAAAACAATGATAAATCAGAGTACCTCCACCGGGAGCTGCCACAGCGGTCATAGCAGAAGCTGAAACAAGACTGTAGAGGTGGAAGCGAGACTAAAACCTTATCTGGAACTGTTTTTGGAACTGGTAATGATTACCTCCGGCCGGTGCTCCTCCCAGCGCAGTCATTGTTGATGCGGGTTTCATAGCTGTCATTGTGGAGGCTGAACAGTGAATTCTTAAACACATAGAGCGTTGGTCTTCCTATCTAGTGAACTGTGGAATATGTTAGGTTGGTAACTTTGAAATGTCGCTTCCTTTTGTGCTTTGTTTCTCAGCTAAACACAACCTCGTAATATGGGAGACCATTCATTCGAGAGAGCGATTCAGCACGCATATTGCGAAATCTTAGGCGCCAGTGAGCGGATGTTCTTCGAGCCAAAACTTTTGCTCGAAGATGATTGATCAGAAAACATCGCTAAGCGTATACAGGGGGGGGGCAGAAAAAAGACATTTTCAGGTCGCACTTCGGCCTTTTTTCTTCGCAGAGATTGCCGTCGTTGACGGAAGTTCCTCAGCAAAATATTCCCTAAATGTCCCTCTATAAGTACACGCAGGCCCTCCTTCACTACCCTCACCGTCTTCAGAATATGACGTCATCTGTCACCGTCGTCGAGCTCAGGGAGGCCTACAGTAACTGCTTCAGCCTGAATTTCTTGGATCGATTCAACGTGGGATAGTTTCCTAGGGACATTAGCTCTAACTATGCAAACCCCCTCGGAACCCGTCGTAACGGTACACGATCAGTCGAGAACCCCATTGAGCTCGACCAGAGCACCATGTTTCCGGGCAAACTTTTCTGATGCCGTCCACGTAGATGGCCACTATGAAGATTTTCTTATGAAATGAAATGCGCTCTTCAATTCTAAGTTGGGAGCACACGCTTTGAGCTGAGCAAAGTGTGATTAAATCCATTTGAGTCTGGAGACAAAATGTCTTTTTTTTATTGGCCCCTCCCCCCTGTATATTCAAGCAAGGAAAAACGGCCAACGAATCTCACTCATTGTGTGCAAAACATTGAGCAGCAACACTTAGTCTCTGATGCACTTCCAGCTATGGTTTCAGCTCTTCCAAGACTGAGGTAAAGGACTTGAGGACGAAGAGCGTGGATATTGACCTGTACCTGTAGAAATGAAGAATTAAAGAAAGCCAACCAATTGAGCTCTCGTCAAACTACACAGAAAACCTCAGGAAGATTTGGCTGTGTCAACAGTAAAATTTAAAAGTTTCTACGTGCGACTGATAAGGCCTTTCAGGATAGAAAATGGGTTCGGCCTATTCTGAGCGACACGAGCAAGCAGTACTGGTTGCCAATACTGGAACTCTCTTCCATAACTCCAAGAGGAAGAAGGCTCTGACTTCGTTGTAAGCGCACTTACAAAGGATGTTCCCCGATAACAAAGTGAGAAGATGGCCGCGGTTGGAAGCAGATGGAAGAGCTGAGGATGACTCCGAAACTGGACGTCCACGGAAAAAAGTCCTGCTTGTTCATGATGAAACAGTATAGGACTGGCCCATATGGAGTGCTGATTGTTGGTCAGACAGTTACAGCTGAACCCTGCGCACAACAGCCAGCCCGCGTTGGCCAAGCGCTGCGTCGTCAAGTGGGAAATCCGGCCATTATAAAACTATGGCACGATAACGCAGGACCACATGTCGCGAAAATTACGCTACAAGAAATCGGGGAGTTGGGCTAGACGTTCTACCTTCTGCGCCATATGACACAGATATAGCGCCTTCCACCTATCATTGCCAGCAAATGCGCGCCTTAGCATAAATTATCCTAACGCGACAACGTGAAAATTAAGTCCTAACTTTTCGACTCATACGGCAAGAGTAGTGACGAGTAGGCCTCAGCTTGCCGAAGCACAAGGTAAACTGACTGAATATAATGGAGGAAATAGTTTGGGGTGGTGTGCCTTGATACAGCTTTTATGCTTAAAATAGTCGTTGATCAAAAACGACATTTCAAAGCTACCAACCTAATATTTTGTCGTTTTCATAGTCTTTGGTAGAATCTGAAACAACGCAAGGAGGTACCTCCGCCATTAGGAGCTGCTACAGCAGTCATAGCAGATGGAGCGCCACCACCAGGAACAGCTGTCATTGTTGATGCTGAAATTGGAGCAGCGCTTATTAACCATTATTAAAACTGATCGAGCTATTTCTTGGAACTGAAGAGGTAACCTCCAGCCGGTGCTCCCAGTGCCGTCATTGTTGAAGTGGGTTTCAAAGCAGTCATGGTAGAAGCTAAACAGTAAATTCTAAGGATGAATATAGAGCTCATTTTGACGTTATTTTTAGTTAAATGTGTATAAAACAATGTGAGACTTCAAAATTTATTGCAAAAGACTCAAAACTTTCTACAAAAGAAATTGCAAAATTGTGTGTTTGCAAAAGTTTTGCAAAAGTTTAGGCCTTTTTGGCGAGCTTTCGGCGCTTAGCGCCTTTGTCGAGCCTGAAATGAAAATTAGAAGCTTCTTAAAGTCTGTTAATATATTAAAATATATTAACTGACCCACCTGCTGTCCACTTTCAAAAGTGTAACACTTACCACCTTGTCATTCCTTGATGTATAGGTCAACAATGTCGTAAGGAATTCCTCGCTCCCAGTACGACTTGTGTTCCGCCCACCCCCGAACTTGAAGCGACTGCTGACATACTCCAGACCTTACGAGGATAAATGTGGGAGGAATGGTTGCATCTACTGTAAGGACGACAAAATATGCCAATTAAGAGGTACAGTTTATGCAATAGAATGCCAAGGATGTGGGCATAAGTATGTTGGAGAAACAAGAAGACCTCTCCACAAACGACTTGATGAACATCGGAGGGCTCTACAAATCCGGCCTCATATCCAGGTAACGCTTCTCAACATAGAACCAACATGCCAGAGGAGTCACACCTCAACGTTAAAAGTCCTACACCGTTCCGTTGAAAACACAGTGGAACGCAAAATACTGGAGGCTCTGGAAAAGACTAGCCCCGGAAATAAATAGCAGAGACGAGTTACGTGACTCTCTTCAACTCATCGCATGACTGCAGTTATCATCACTGTGGAATGAATGCGATATTTTGGGAAATAACGGTCGTAGCACGTCAACGCTATTTAAGGGTAAGTCTAGGGTAGGGAACAGTTCCTGCTTCACAGACCGACAAGGGTGGTAAGTGTTACACTTTTGAAAGTGGACAGCAGGTGGGTCAGTTAATATATTTTAATATATTAACAGACTTTAAGAAAGCTTATAATTTTCATTTCAGGCTCGACAAAGGCGCTAAGCGCCGAAAGCTCGCCAAAAAGGCCTAAACTTTTGCAAAACTTTTGCAAACACTCATTTTTGCAATTTCTTTTGTAGAAAGTTTTGAGTCTTTTGCAATAAAATTTTGAAGTCTCACATTGTTTAATACACATTTAGATCGACATGAGACTTCGGGACAGAACAATTCGTTATTTAGCTGTTCAATCTGCTTCTTTTTCAAGTTGTCTTCGGTAAAAATTTGAAAGGAAATAAGCAACGAAATACCTCCGCCAGGAGGTGCTGCTACAGCAGTCATTGCAGATGGAGCGCCACCACCAGGTACAGCTGTCATCGTTGAAGCTGAAATTGGAACAGCACTTACTAGCTACTCTGCTGGTTATATTATACAGAAACCCAAAAATCTTGAAAACTCCCATTCCAGGATGTTTCTGAAAAACCTTTGATGAGAAAATGTGCCGAATACAAATGCGACTTGACTGTCGTGAATCACGAGGATCACTCCGAGGGACCCTCGGGTGCGGCCGACGCCCGCGGTGGTCACCGTAGCAATTGACCCCTACAATCAACATGATCGTGCGGGAATCCCACCAACGGAGACGGCGGTGGCTCCCGTCACGGTCCGTCCCTTCAACCGTTCGTCTTTTCTATAAATTCGTTGCACTGCGGTCGAGTCGGGCTTCGGCCCTTAGAATTCGAAATGATTTTACTCCAATACGAATAGTTCACGCCCACGGACCCTACCTCTACGGAGGACTACCCTGACCGGTGCTCATAAAAGTGGGGCACGGAAATAGGTTCCTAGCCAATTGTTCAAATAGACCAACGTGGGTGCACATCGCAAGAAGCGTCCAACGCCTCCAACTTTTTTTCTGAGAATATTTGTGGCAGTAAATGTGATGTGATTTTATGGTTATGGGAGAACTTAATAGTACCAAAGTGTACCAAGAGTTTTTAGAAAATATTTCGAAAAGGTACCACCGCCAGGGGGAGCTGCTACAGCAGTCATGGCAGACGGAGCGCCACCACCAGGAAGAGCTGTCATTGTTGAAGCTGAAATTGAAACAGCACTAATTATTATTATTAAAGCCGATGAAGCTATTCTTGGAACTGGCAGTGATCACCTCCAGCTGGAGCTCCCAACGCCGTCATTGTTGAAGCAGGTTTCAAAGCTGTCATTGTAGAAGCTGAACAGCGATGTATCAAGATAAATATAGTGTTAATTTTGATTTTGAATTTTTTTGTAATCTTTTTTATTTTAGCTGCTGAAGTGTGCTTTATCTATTCTCAAATTGTCTTTGGAAGCATCAAAAAAAGCAAATAGGTACCTCCGCCAGGAGGTGCCGCCACAGCAGTCATAGCAGATGGAGCACCACCACCAGGAACAGCTGTCATTGTTGAAGCTGAAATTGACAACATTTTAGGGGCATGGCTTGAGGTGGAGTTGTTGGGCAACGTGCTAGTGACTACCTCCAGCCGGGGCTCCTCCGACTGCCGTCATTGTTGAAGCTGGTTTCAAAGCTGTC